AGTTCCCCCCTCCCTCCCTCCCTAGCCCCCAGAACACATGATGATAAAGTGTCCCATGCCCCCAGCACACATGATAATAAAACTTTCTCCCCCTCACCTGCTTGCATCTTTGCAGGGCACATCATCACTCCCCGGTCTAGTGGTGATTAGTAAGGTCTAGTGCAGACCCAACTAATCATCCATCATTCGGCCGGAGCTCAGAACTGACAGAGCTCTGGCCGGAGCTCAGAACTGACAGCTCTGGCCGGAGCTGACAGGAGCAGCTCTGCGGTCTGCATCCTACAGAGATGCAGACCGTGTAGCTGCTCCCGCAAGTCAGGCACGTGGTCCGTGACCGTGTTCCCGACTTGTCAGCTGCCTGCGGGCCACATAGTACCAGCTCGAGGGCTGAAGTTGGCCCGCGGGCTGGTACTTAGAGACCCCTGTTATAGACTGTCATGGGGGTGAGCTTGGAGTGATGGCGACTTTGCAACACACGCTGGGACCATGGGAAACAAAAGTAGCCACCCTACAGAAGGAAGGACTGTCGGAAAAAATTCAGAGATGATTTGTTGTGAGATAGGGGAAAGAGACTTTTGGAACAAGATATATAAAGTATATCCTACTGAAAAACTTTACCCTTTAGCAACTTTGTCCCCCCACTTCAGTTCCATGATGAGGGCAGTTATAGGTGGAATATAACAACATGGCTCATGACATACATTTTCAGTATCAGTTCTTTCTGCTGTCTGAGAATCCTCAGTAGAGAAGGTCTGCTGTGTTGAAGCCGGAGTATCCTCTGGGAAACTATATTTAGTTCAAGAGAGCCAGATGGTTGCATCTGAAATAGTGGAAGGGGGGTTCATAAATAAAACGAGGGACGTGTTGCTCATTGCAACCTGTTAAATTCTAGCTATCATTTGCTGACCTGCACTGGAAGGATAGCATCTGGCATGTAGCTACTTCTGGCAGCGAAAACACCAAACAGCATGAGAAGACTGCATGTTTCTGAGATGGATCCTTCAATGAGTGAAGTGTTTGTGCTGAAGGTTACACTTTATCAAGCAGTCAATACAGGTTCTACAGAAAGCTTCTGCTCGGGAGATGTGCAGCTCTCAAAATTGTGAATATATGATGTTTATCAGTGACAATGTCTTACAGTTCTGCAAACGATTTAGGTGTTTTTTTGCCAAAATATACTTTTAACGAGTAAACAGGTTTTGAGGCTATATTGGACCTTTTAAAGAAGAGCTCCGGAAAACAAAAAACACCCTTGCGGTGGAACTATCCCTTCAAGTGCTTGTTTTTTTTCTTCTAGGGGCTCAAATAAAGCAGATATACCTGCCGGATCCTCGATCCTGCTCACTCCCTCTGGGCTGCTAGAGCAGTCCTCGTAGTCTCTTCTGCCCTGGGGTTCCTGTGGTCTAAGGACTGCATTAGTCCATTGACCTGCATTAGACATTGGGATGCCAAGGAACATTCCATAGCTGGGAGGGAGAGAGGTGAGCAGTGCCTGCTATGAAACTGAGGATCAGGTGAGTAATACAGCTTTATTTTAATCCGTTAGACAAAGTTATCACTTAACCCTTGCAGTGCGGGGGTGGCCCATTGCAAGCGTAGGTTGTGCTTTTTTTAAAATGTATTTCTCTACCTTTAAAGAAGAACTGGAAAAAAATGCCAGGTGTCTCATTTTGGTACAAAAGACGACTCTTCTGATAAAAAAAAAAAAAATACTTTGCATTTTTTTGCACTGCTTGCAGTAGTGTATCATCTTGCTATCTTTAAAGAAGAACTCCAGGCAGAATAAAACGTAACCCTTGTTGTTGGGCTGCCCTTTGCACTGCAAAGATTAAAAGGGTTACTCGCAAAGCTGCCGAAGGCAGCCGAGTGAATAACCCAGCCTAAGTGAAGTGAGCAGAACGCTGTTCAGCTATTCACTTCTGGCTTGTACGACTGATTTCAGCCGTACATCGGCTCTGTACGGCTGCATTCGGTCAGCTGAACATGCTCTGCACCCCCTCTGGCGCAGCGTGTTCTGAAAACAAATTTATGAATGCCCGAATATAGTTTTGTATATTCGGGCATATAATAAATTAGTTATTTCTGAGTTGGTCGAATCGCCGAATCAACTGAATTTCGTTGATTTGCAGGTTCGTCCGAATCTACTGTTTTCCTTATGTTATGTTATAAAACATTTATCAGTACCCAATGTTTTGGTAAAACATAAAAGACGGGGTAAATAGACACCAAACATATCAAGCTTTAAAATTGTGTGCACCTGTGAAATCACAAACAACTACCATGCCTAAAATTGGCAGTAGGCGACGCTGCAAAAGCTTTTTTTTTTTAAAAAAGAAAAAAATATCCGAAACTTTGAACATCCCACGGGGCATCATTCAATCCATTATTAAAAAATGGAAAGAATATGGTACCACAACAAACCTGCCAAGAAAGGGTCCCCCATCAAAGCACATGGACTAGGTAAGGAGGGCATTAATCATAGAGGCAATAAAGGGAGCTGCAAAGCTCTACAGTACAGATTGGAGTATCTGTCCATAGGACCACTTTAAGCTGTACACTCAACAGAGCTGGCCTTCATGGAAGATTAGCCAGAAAAAAAGCCATTGCTTACAGAAAGAAAAAAAGTAAACATGATTGCTGGTCGACAAAAGGCATCTGCGAGACTCCCCAAACATGGAAGAAGGTACTCTGGTCAGATGCAATTGAAATTTAGTTTTTTGGCCTTTAAAGTGATATTAAACCTTTTTTCAAATTATTTAAATAGTTGCTATTAGGACATCCACATTTGCCGGAAGATGTTCTTTTTCTTTAAAAATGTTAAATTCCTCGTTTTCTAGTGGGTCCCCGCAGCACTCTTTCCCCCGCCCCCTGCACGGGTGCCTCCATCGGCTAACGGGCTATCCATAGACGCACACAGCCCTGTGGCAGGCCACGCCCCTTCTTTTTGACCAACACATTGATGGCAGAAGGAGCCTACGGCTCCTCTGCCATCAGTATCCTCCCCCTGCAACCAGGAAGTACGGGGAAACGGAGGATCACTTCGGGACTGGCGGCGGGGACGAGTGGGGGGACTGGGGGAGAAAAAGGTTCTAGGCAGTTTTTACCCTAATGCAGAGAATGCATTAAGGTAAAAAACACCCAGACCGTAATACTACTTTAAGGAAAATGATATGTCTAGCGCAAACCCAAGACCTCTCACCACCCCGAGAACACCATCCCCACAGTGAAGCATGGTGGTGGCAGCATCATGCTGTGGGATGTTTTTCATCGGCAGGGACTGGCAAACTGGCCAGAATTGAAGGAATGATGAATGGCGCTGAATACAGGAAAAATTCCTGAGGGGAAACCAGTTTGTCTGCCAGAGATTTGAGACACAGATGCAGGTTCACCTTCCAGCAGGACAATGACCCTAAGCATACTGCTAAAGCAACACTCGAGTGGCTTACGGGGATACATTTAAATGACTTGAAATTGCTTAGTTAAAGCCCAGAATTAAATCCAGTTGAGTCTGTGGCATGACTTAGATTGCTGCATGCCAGTGAAACCCATCCAACTTGTTGGAGCAGGTTTGCCTTGAAGAATGGGCAAAAATTTGCTAGATGTGCCAAGCTTATAGAGATGTACCTCAAGAGACTTGCAGCTGTAATCGATGCAAAAGGTGGCTCTACAAAGTATGCCCTTTTTGTCTTATTGTTTTTATCACAAAAAAAATGTTTGCATCTTCAAAGGGGTAGGCATTTTGTGTAAATCAAATGACCCCTCCCCCCCAAACCAATTTTAATCCCAGGTAGTAATGCAACAAAATAGGCAAAATGCCAAGGGGGTGAATACTTTTCCAAGCCACAGTATTGAACACGTTTTCCTTTGCTACCCTCATTTCTGTTCATACCGGTGGAAGGTGTGTTTTTCTAGAAACTGCACCAATATGCAGGATTTAAAAAAAAGAAAAGTGCACTTACCGTATTTGCCGGCGTATAAGAGGACTTTTTATACCTAAAAACATCCCCCGAAAATCGGGGGTCGTCTTATACACGGGGGTATATAATGTGAACCTTTAGTTCGTTTGGGACAAGCTGGCCCAAAACGAACGTCCCTAATCTGTCTAATCTATACCGCGCTGAGCCAATCACGGCATGTACACAACCTCTGCCAATCCGAGCAGGCTTTGTATTCATTAATAGAATACATCGCTCGCCGTGATTGGCTCAGCACGGTATACTGTGCATACAGTATTACCGCACATCTAGCGGGGCTAACAGATTAGCGGGTGTATTTAAACAAAATGGCTGGTAGACAAGACCCTATCATGGCTCCAGCAAGAAGAAGGAAATATGAAGCCTCGGAAGGGGGGTAGTCTTATACAACGAGTATAGCCCAAAACCTATGTTTTAACTGGAAAGTTAGGGGATCGTCTTATACACCCAGTCTCCGTATACGCTGGCAAATACGCTATTCTTTTTATCTCCTACACCTAAGCGATCCCAGCCTCCCCTTCCACAGATCCGAACTAACCGAGAGCCTATGGGCATGTTTCTTCTATGGTTTACAGCTAGTCGGTGCAATTCTCCCTCTGCTAGTCGCACCTGCACATTACAGCCCCATAGACTATGGGGCCAGCTACCAGCAGGGAGATGGATGCTTTCAAGGGAATCAGGATGTCAACAAACAGCAAAGCAGTGGCCTCTGGATCTTGTTAAGTATAGATCTGTGAAGATTAAGGGAGGTGGGCAAAAAGTAGAGCACTTTGTCTAAAAAATGCACTTTCTTCCTTAACCTAAATAGAATTATTTACAGTACTGCAGGATAACATGTTAACCTTACCTAGATTGTTCATCCCTTCTTTTCTCCTGTACGTTCTGGAGTTTGCCATTTGTAGTTAACCCAAACATATCGCCAAGTGCCCTAGGTGAGTTTAACTATTCAAAGCTCTTTTTCTTTTCTTTTCCAGTGTATCGCTTTCAATGATATCTCTCCACAAGCTCCGGTACATTTCCTAGTGGTGCCTAAGAAGGCTATTAGACGTTTATCTGAAGCGGATCCTGCTGATGAAGCTGTAAGTGAAAGCTCATTTTTATATTGATGAATAACCGGTCTGTTTCGGCCCACTGAGGATACATTGCTTTAGGCTGCGTAGACAGCACAGGGACTGATTTACTTTGATGTATGCTGTTAAATCCAGGGGCATAACAGAAACCAACAGCTAGGAAAACAGTTTGGCTTCTCCTTGAAAAAGACAGATATAAATCATGCTGTGTGTCTGGTGGATACAAATTGAAGAAATGGTCTTAAAGGATAAATGCACTTATCCTTTTGCAGCCACCCTCCCCTAGTATTTCAGTAATGACAGATATTTACATGGAATGCAGATCTTTACTGCTTTGCCTGTTCAGAGTCATCTATACTGTCTTCTAAATCCTCATCGCGTTCTGGACCCCACTGACTTCATTAGAAGGCATGATGCAGAAGGGTTTCTATTGAAGGCAATGGATTTTGGGACATGCGTGTGTCAGTAATATGATGTAGAACTGGGAAGATTGTGAAGAGATTCTGGTCAGGATACACAGATCTTCCCAAAACTTAATTTCAAGTGAATATAATTTGGGGAGGAAGGATAAGAAGTTGACTTTATCGTACATTTTTCATTTTAACTTGCCATTTGCAAATTTATATATACAGGGCTCGAAAAATCCACTTCGTATACTGAACTCCCTTTGATCTCCTGTCACAGAGTAAGGATTCCTTGGTTTAGACTTCCAGTCCTGTAATATAACATTTTCTTTTTAAATCCTGAACACGATTATATATTTGAAGTGAATACTGGTTCTAAGTTTCTTGGGCAAACTCACCGGCCCTAGTGGCTCCGTCGGCTAACGAAGGGGGGGGGAGGAGTCACCGGACTCCTCCCCCTTCCCTTCGTTAGCCGACGGAGCCACTTGGGGGAGGAGTCCGGTGACGTCGATGTCTGTGACGTCACTGGATCGCCGACGGGACTCCCGGAAGCCGGCGGAGAGATTAGTGTTTTCATTAGCGATCAAAATAATTTTAGTCGATCAAAAAGTTTAACGATTAATCGAGAAATTAACCTTTAATTTCCACAGCCCTAGTAAAAATATAGTTAATTTTAATGCACACAGAGAGAGAATAATAGCCATTTCTGTAACATGTAGATATTATATTAAACTTTTTTAAAAAAACTTTATTTCTATCAAAAGGAGGTTGAAAAGTGTGTGATAGCAGAGTGACAAGTTCTCTGTAAGGAGATATCAGGGGTCTGTTAGACCCCTGATGTTACCCCTGCATTCTGTTGAAGCTGATCAACCTCAAGCAGCTTCTCGCAGAGCCAAAGCGACTGACTGTGGATATACCGATCTGAACCCAAAAGTGAGCGTTCTGAGTACGTCCAGGTTTATCCTAACCAGGGGAGATCAAATAAAAGAGCTTTGCTAATTAAGGATTAAAGAGCGTTTTCTATAAGAAAGCAAAAAGGAAAACACATTTTTGTCACCTTTTTAGAGTCTTAATTATCAAGCCACTTAAAATATATCTAAACCCAAGAACTAAAATGTAACATATTGTAGCTTACCAGTTCTTAGATATGGTGACTGCATTGCTTCTCTTTTTTTCAGGCTTTTTTCCTTATTTTCACCTGATGATCCTGCCAGTAACACACTTCCTCTGCCCTAGGGTGACTCACTCCGTGTACTATATCTATGGTGGAGCAGTGTTGTTAACCTAGGACATGAATAATGCTGATGCTATAGAACACCTCCCTCGCTACTCTTCTCCATATGGGGTTGGTGATCTGGGCAGAGCTGATAACACTGCAAAGAGCACAGGACAGTGCTGGATTTCTGGCGAGATCAACAGATATATCTTTGCACTAAAGATATATGGGCTGGGTTCACACCTAGGTGTATCGAATATGCGCATTCGTGTTGTGCGCTTGCCGCGCGATTCACTGTAAAAAAACGCACGACAAATGTGCGTTTCTGAGGGCTACTTGGCTGTATCCCAATGGAAACGCGCGACAAAAACGCCCCAAAGAAGCTCCTGTACTTCTTTGGGTGTAGGAAGTTTTGTAGCGCGTTCATACAGCCTGTAATACGCCCAGGTGTGAACCATGCCCATAGGAAATAATGGGATTTCGGCGTTTGAGCATTTTGCAGAGCGTTCGAACGCGCTACAAAATGCTCAGGTGTGAACCGGGCCTTATCGAATAGATGTAACAAAACGATTTCAACAATATATTTAAGAGGCCAAATGGAGCATATAAAAGAGGAGATCGTTGTTGGGGGTTTACAAAGACTTTATCACTTTCGCTGCCAATGGTGCCATACATCGCTGGGAGTGGGCCCCTGTACACTCCCTAAAGGGACTGTCAGCTTTACAAAAGCAGCTGAAGAGTCTCCTGGTCACTTCCAGGGGCCGGTAAACAGTGCCGTGGCATCCGATCCGTACTGCTCTGATCAGGAGGGGATCCGTGCACTGATCGGACAGTGTGAAAGGGGCCAAAATTAGCCAGATATTTAGCATTTTCAGAAGGGGCACAGCAGAAGCCTTCATATTACTTTTAATGTAGGTTTACTACACGGATTGTATTTTTAAGGTGTGATGAGCTTGTTTCTGGCAGTAGGTGGCGTTGCTGCAATAGTTTCTGTAGCTGAGAGGACACATTAAAAAGCTATAGGATTTATATCGCACCAACAGCATTCTAATCATAGAACATTGCACTAGTCCAACATTTTGTTTTATGCTACATTCCATTGTCTGGAAAATGAGCATTAAAAGCAGCTTGAAACAGAAAAATGTATGTTGACCGCTGCATCTAATATGTTTAACCTTTTTTTTTCTTTTTTTTAAGTATTAAGGAAAAATGTTTTGCAGTTTTAGAACTATTCAAAGAAATTCAGTTTTATGATAACACCTTAGACTAGAATTGGGGGCATGTGGTCTTCCTCCATGTGTGGCACGTAGGCTTTTTTTTTCAGGTTGTTTAACAACACCAGGTTGCTCATGAGATATTCTCTGTTCACCATACTTTATTTGACAGATCTATCTTAGCAGTCATTTCCAAAAGTGCCAGCTTGGCTAATTACCACTACGCACGCGGGCTCTGTGATTTAATTAGAAAATGCTGGTTTATGAAGTTTTCACAGATTGGTTTCCTGACCACTCATCTGTTTTATGACGGCAAGGAAAAAAAAAATCAGTCATGTGCAAAATTGTAATTTGCTGTCATGTAAATGGGATTTAATGCAGGTGTGTTTCTCATTCATTTTTAATATAAGCAGCTAAGGTTCCATCTTATGCCTAATGTATTACGGCAGTGTCACATTGGACATTTACACACTGAAATAGGTGTGTGTGTTATTGTAAGATCTTATCCACAAAATCTTCCTGGACGGTGAGGTGCTATCTAAAAAGTGCAAACAAGGCGAATGGAATGTGCTGGTGATCACAGCATTTACAGACTGAAATAGAGGTGTGTGTGTGTTATTGCTTTTCTGTGCCAAGCTGGTAAATGTGACGTCGTGTAGAGTATGCTGACAATCTTTCAACATGCCATAATAAATGGAATTGCACATCCATCAGTATATAGGTCCTTCTCACTCATAACCCCTGGGTAATTCCACATTGGCTATGTTTAGTTTCTTTGGAGATAATTCAAGTTATGACTTGATGTCGTATCCTTCTCAGACCTGATATATCATCGAGTTATATGACCGCTAATAATTCAAGCAAATGGCAAACATACTCATCAATTTATAACTAGTTTTTAAAGAAAGGTGGACATGGAAGGGCTTTTGACAGTACAAACACACACATTTCCCAGCACACTTACCAGCTAGCCTGCCAAAAAAAAAAAACTTACACTGTCTCACACCAAGCTTACACTGGCTTGCGTTTTAGTTGCACAACTTTGTGAATCTGATGTTCAGCGGTCACAGATAATAATAACTATGTGAGTTTGGTTTGTGTGGTGTATGACACAAAGAAACATTGTATTAGTGATAGTGATTTAGGTGCACAGATAACATATAGCTGATTAACTCCAGATATCTATAGAGCTAGGCCTCATTCACATGGGAATGCATGCCTCTGCAGAGACCTTCTCCCAGGGGGAACAATTACAGCCACGTGTACTTCCCTATGACAGAACACGTCAGCCCGAAACCTGCACACACTTGGATGCAGTGCATGTAACCGGACTTGTAAAGATGAGCAGGATCGAGTCGGCGTTTAGTCGCGTCCCGTGATAGCAATGTACAGGTGGCTGCATGCAAATAAAGGCTGCCCCTATCCCTCTTGGGAGCAAGTCTTTACATGGGCATTTGGGTTGTACGGATGTGCACACTCATGCGATTGAAGCATAAATGTGATTGAGAATTTCCTTTGTATGAGTCATGTTTTTCCTGCGGTTTAACTACTGATGATTTACATGGTGATTGGTAGAGGCCTTGTCATTAGACCTGTAAATAACGTATGGAAATCTTTAAAGGAGAACTATGGGGTCAGGGCTTTTCCCCATAGTTCTCCTAAGGCTAACGGGAGGACACAAACTAGCGTCCTCCCGTCACCCAAAGCTCAGTATACAGCTAGCTACAGCTCATGGTATACTGGGACGCTGCAGCTGAAACGGATCCCGACAATACTGTCTGGATTCACCAAGCTGCGTGAGTGACAGCTGGCTCTGCCTATGTAGAGGCAGAGCCAGCTGTACCCTCCCCCGTCCGTTCCGCCAGTCAGCGCTGGAGGATCGGACAGGGGAGGGGGGGGAATCCCTGCAGGGAGGCGTGAGTGACGTCTAAGGAGAACTATGGGGAAAAGCCCTGACCCCATAGTTCTCCTTTTAAACATTTTAAGACTTTTATAATCCCAAGGTCCCTCGTGTCTGGTGAGGGTAAATTTCTAAAGGTGGCGGAGAGCACAGCGGGAGCGCAGAATTTGATATTTTTCACTGTGGTGGTGAACTGTCTTTTTGCATATATATCACTGGCAGTGTACTAGGTTAGTTCATTTATAAGAATTGTATTGGATTACTGTATTTTATTA